GTGTAGAGTTTACACATTTCCAGCACTGTTACATTGCAGTGCCACACACTGCAGGTTCTGTTGTAAAAGCTGCAGCGTATGGAGTCCCTAGACCTGGAGAAGAGGTGAACAGTAACCTCTGCCAGGAGCTGGGGCACTGCCCCCCTGCCCAGCAGCGGGGACACCCCTGGCATGCCCAGCACAGGCTCTGGTTCTGGATGAGCTCCAGGAGCTGTTGCCCCAGCCCAGACTGGGCTGCTGTGAACCTGCCATGGAGGGCTGAGGGTGCAAAGTGTTGTTCTCCGCTGGATGTGCCCTGGCCACCACGGGTGTAGGCAGAGCTCTCTCCTGGGCCTGCTGTATGCTCATGGTGTGGCTCGGTGCTCCTGGTTTCACACACTGACCGGGCTGTAGGGTGCTGTCCACCTTCACTAGGTGTCTGCAAGTCTGTGTTCTGTGCCCTTAGCCACGCTCCTCATTCAAATAAAGATTTGCATATTATTGTGGGTTTCTGCTATATGCATGTATTCACCTTTAGTATATCTGTATCGAAAGTTTCATATTTAATTCTGCTGGCACTCTACAGCAGGTTCTTCTTAAGTAAAAAGAAAACAAATGTCTTAATTTTCCTAGTTTTGAAAGTCCATTTAAAGCCGTTCTGTTGGGGGTCATTTTTGTAGTGTTTCTCATCTCTACTGATGCGTACACCTCAGCAGGTTTGCCCAGAATTAAATAACAATGTCAAGAACCCAGTGCGTGTTCCCCACTCCTTTTCCGATATGCTTTAGTTTTAATTAATTCAGGAGTTTTATTTGGAAAAATAGGAAGTATGTTCAAAGAGGACTGCAGTAGTTCCATAAACTTCAAGACTGGTTCACCTTTTACCAAAACTGGTTATGATAAGGGCTAGTGTCTTTGTTTTAAAAGTCAGTTCCAAAAATAAAGAAATTCTTCAAATACTTTTCTTTGTGAGGTTGCTGCATTGGTAGCCACAGGTATGGCATATGCCTTCCAACCCAACAAATGCTGAGGCTTAGAATCAAAAGAGATAAGGAAAAATAAATTGCGAAACAGGTAAACTACAGGCTGTGTTCAGATTATTTTGTTTGTAATAAGCAATGTTATTTTTATCCCTGAGGTACTATAAGAGCTTCCCTGTTGTTCATCTGTCGTCACGCATAGGTGAAAGATCCTTCTGCAGGGTTTGAAAGATTAATTGTCAGAGTTTGTGTTGAATGTTTTCAAAGAAAAGATCAGAGGAATTTTTCTGTTTAGAGAGAATACTGAATTAAAATCATGAAAGCAGAATCCCCAAATAACCACTTCTGTGTGACTCTTCATGTAGTTTCTTATGGTGAATTGAAGCAAGGAGAAAGTGACCCTCGGTATCGGTATTTTAAAAATAACCCCTGAGCTCAGCCAGCATGAATCAGGGCTGTGCTGTGGGAGCCAGAGGTGCTGATGCTGTGCTGGGGGATCCAGCTGGCTGAGGCTGGCACTGCCCTTGGCTCGGGGCTGGGGTCTTTACCTTCTGCAGCCGCTGCAGGCACGATGGTGTTGGTTCAGGCAGGGCAGAGCAGCTGGGTGCTGTGAGGTAAATGAGTGTCTTTTCTGCAGAGGAACTGGCCCAGGGAGGAATAAATGTGATGTCAGAGTTCCGTCTCAGATCTGCTTGTGCTTGCAGCAAACATGGGGTTCCTCAGCAGCAGAGCATGAGGAGTCCAGCTTCAGGAGTGCTTATCAGAAGACCAAGAGGACCACCAGGGCTGAGCATTATGAATAAGCCCTGTGTCCAGCCAGATCATTCATTAAAAGGGTTCCACTGCGTATGGAGTTAAGCCATCCCATAATGCCAGAATTGCTGGATAAATAGCACAGTGTGGTTGCAGCCTTCAAATCTTGACAAAGAATACACTGTCCTATAGTGATTTGTTTATGTAATAGGTAAAGCTCCATTGGAGACAGGTTCTCCTCATGTTAGGCAGTACTCCAACAAAAAAAGAGGACAATGCCAATGAAAACAACTGGAGTTTTACATTCTGCTTTATAAGCTGCCCCTATCATGGAGCTGTTATCTATGCTAATGAAGAAAAATTCATATTCACATTTGTTTTTAAATTAACATAATCATGTGGTAGATTGCATTGCTCATTAAGCAGTAATTCTTATGAAAAGTGAGTCTCAATCCTTTTAATCTTGGAGAAAGGGAAATCTTTCTATCAGTTGCTCTCACAATGTTTTCGACATATTTTACTTTTGCAGTAATGTTGGGAATGTAGATGTTCTCAGATAAGGTTTTAAGTTTTGTGTTTTGAAATGAAAAATCATGAAAGCATGTACTAATTTTACAGGTACGAGTATAATTTAAAGGAGTCTTAATTTTAGCCTAATTTTCTTTTCCTAAACTTTGGAGCAGGCTGGGGGGTTTGCAGGAACAAATACTTGGGAAACTGATGGAACTGTTGATACTGAAATTTGAAGCCAACTCATAGAAAGCAATTAAAGCCTGTGTATTTCCTGCATAAGGGAGGAGAGCGAGGGTTGTGTGAAAAGTCACTCACTGTGTGTGTAGGTGTACTGCATTGTAATACAGGATGCCTCCCTCAACTCCATGCAATGGATTAATCCCAAGTGATAGGTAAGCACTTTTCTAATCTATTTTGGCATTCAAGATGATTCAATTCCACTTTGCTGTTCCATCTTTGCAAGGTCTGTGGCAGAGGTTGCACAGGTTGGTCCTTTAGGCCTCCTTATTTAACACAGCAGGTTCTTGCTTTTGACCCAAGATCACTTGTTCAGGAGCTCAGTGCTTTGCTGAGGTGGATGCTCAGAGGTGCTGGGGTTATGAATTAGAAGCTTTGTCTTTGGTGAAATGGCCTGGTTGGGGGAGAAAGAGGGATAAGAGGGCTTGATTCGGTGTGGGGCTTGACTGTACCAATTAGGAGCAATGGTGACACTTTGGACTGCAGGGAAGTAGGAATTGTGGTGAAACTAAGGGTGAAGAGTTTCTGAGGCTGCCAAAAACTGCAGAACTGGTGTGTGGCTGAAGGGAGAAGGACAGAAGCAGAGGAGCTGTTCTGGAAGGGACCAGAAGGGCTTGCCAAGGGTGATTCTTAGAGGATAGGTTAGGAGAGGGCCACAACAGCATGACTGTTGAGGAATGTTTCTGCTTCAAAAGGGCTGGACAGTCAGGTAATGCATTGGAGAAGCAATGCACTGTCCCGTGAGCTTGTAAGAAAGAGGCTTTTTTGGGAGCTGTGTTGGTATTTTAATGTGACTCGAATATGGCTTGGAACCTTGAACCTACTACCTTCTTTTTATTATTCCCAATTATTAAGTTAGAATTAAACTTTTTGAGGCCTGATATGTGTTTGTTGAGTAACAGGGTTAGTGATAATCAGTTGAATGATTTCAGCTGATAGTATAAAAAGTGTCAGGGGTATGTATTGTCATAAATGATCTGGGCAAGTATTTTTTGCTCCTCCAACATCTGAACATCCATGTGCATAAATTGGGTTGCAAGGCCAGAACTTGCCTTTGGAAGAGTTTCTCACAAAGTTTTTGCTGCCCAGGCTTAAAGTTTTGAGCCTTATTCAGTATGTATTCTCACAGTGTCTTTTTTGTGCCTTTCTCTTCCAAAATCTGTCAAAAAACTTCTGTTGGTGTTTGAACTGCTTGGTGATACAATCTTTGTAGATAAATAGCATTTCTGTTTAGAGGCGTTTTGACAGTTTTTACTGTCTCTTAGCTCAGATTGAAGGACACGATTAAGATTGCCTGACTCTTTTTTTGGTAGAGATGAATTTAGAGAAAGAACAGGTGAGCAATTCTAGGAAAGGTAGTCTCCCTCTTGATTCTCTGAGTGATCTTGCAGCCTGACTTCTTAGCTCACTGTGGCCTGAGGCCAATAATTTGATTTTCTTCCTCAATTCTATCAAGTGATGTCAGACAATGACGGTTGTTTCTACAGTGAGACTGGAGGAAATAGTAGATGTCAGGAGAAAGAATGAAGGAAAAAATGCAAAGAAATTTATAAGTAGCTCATTTGGGGTTTATAGGTGCCTTCTTCTTTTATTTTACATTTACACTCTTGAGAAACACACATAGATCTGGGACAGCATGTCTGTGTTTTGTGGAGATGTTGTAGCTGGTGCTTTGAGTTGCTCAGTTGCTTTACTTGGACACCAGTGGTGTCTGATGTTCTCCCTGAGCTGTAGTATGGTCTGTAACTTCCTGCACAGTGGTGTGGCCTTACCCAAACAATCAGCATGCAGTCTCCAGTAGCTATTAGCTGAATTTTTTTCTGTTTTTTCAGTTAATGTTCGGTAGCAGAACATTGTTCCCAAGTGTCAGGACAACAAGGTTTACGTTACCTCACTCTGCCCTGAAAGTAACACAGGAATGTTACTTCATTTAATAATTCAGCCATGGACTAGGTACCAGCCAAACAGCGAAGATCTTCAGCTTTTGTCTCTCGCTTTTACCCTGATAATTTAATACAGCACATTGTTTTTCAGACTAGTTTGATGAGTGCTGCAGTTCAGCCCAGGTTTTTGTGGCATTAGTAGGGAAGTATCTCCAGGTTCTTGGAGGAAAAATATAGCAGCTGTGGTACTTCAAAATTTGAATGTACCTTCTTGGGTTTTTTTAAGTTTCAGGAGAGGAGATTTGCTCTTCTTCAGAGACCTACTTGGCAGGATTTCATGGGAGACTCTTCTGGCAGGTAAAGGTGCTGCTCTTCCAGCCAGTTCAAAGCACGTGTAGTCCATCACAGCGTGTAGGAAGACAAACAAAAATGGTAGAAGGCAAACAAGCATGAGCATGGAACTGTTGTTTGAGCTTAAACACCAGCAGGAAGCATCAGGAAGGTGAGAGTGGTATGAGTGGCCAAGAGCAATGTCGAAGTGTTAACTGGGCAAGGAAGGATGCAGGTAAGAAAGCTAAAGCTCAGCTGGAGTGAAGGATGTGAAGAGCACCCAGAACAGCTTCTGAAAGCATATTGGTGGCAAGAGGGAGGCTAAGAAAAATTTAGGCACACTGCTCTGAGCACCTTCTGACCAAAGGAATGGTGAAACCAGAGGTATCTAGGGTCTTTTCTGGCCTTGTTTTTAGCTGAATAAACTAATGATTGTTTTTCACTGGGCAAAACCAGGAAGTTGCACTCATCCCCCTCAGTGGGGGATGATTGAATGAGAAGAGCTGTGTGATTTGCATTGTGACGTGGTGAGTGACTCCAGCTGGAAGCCGTGCTGTCCGTCATAGCTGGCACAGCTCAGCAGCCAGGGACTCACAGGCAGAGCAGCCCAGCAAGGAAGGAGCTGGCAAGTGGAGCATAAGGTATGGGAGGTTAGTATGCAATTTATGCTGGGTGGGGAAGATGTTCTTTGCAGATCTAGGTAAGTAAGTTTGTCTGTTGTGGAATTTTTATTTGCAGTTTCAAATGTTTGCTTGGGCATTTTATGTTTTTTCTGGAACAGAGCTCTCCCAAAATATGGTGTACATGAAAATTTTTGCCTTTGAACAGAGCAGCACATGACTTGGAAAATGAATTTATTATTGTGTAAACAGCAGACATGAAATCATTTGGTAGGAAATGTCAACTGGTAGATCTAAGTGATGAGAACATCTGAAAGCTAGAGAGTTGAGGGTAACTGGACATTGGTGGAGAAACAAGACTGCACAAATAATTTCAAATTTTCAATTATTTTCCAAAGTAGAGGATATGGAGAACAGAGTCTGGGTGAGGAGGGTGAGCCTGGAGAACATAGTGTTGGTGATTTTGGAGGTAAGGAGGTTGTGGGTTCATTTCTCTTGCTACTGGTCAGAGTTGAAACATCTTATTTCATGCAAAAACAAATGGAGGTTCTGCCCGAAGCTGTAGTTTTTGGGAAAAGGGTGTGTAGAATCACAAGAGAAAGAGATGAGAAGGCTGGGGAACTAGAGAAATAATGCAGAATTAGCTGCAGGTAAAAAGAGATTAATACCAAAACCTGTACATGTGATTGGAGATTCTGCATCAGTTATGACCAGAGCAACCAGGCTTGTAAAAATCTGCAAAAGAAGTTCAAAGAAATGGAGGTGTAGAGGGTGATGGGTTCTGTAGGAATGTTACTTTGACAGGGTGAGGAGGCATGCTAGGAGAGCTAAGGTCAATAGATAGTTCTGGTCCATGAACTATTTGGAAAGGTTTAAATATCTTTTCATTACCATGGGAGGACCTTCTTAGGTATTTTTCTTAATTGATAAATTTCACCTGAGTCCCTTGGACACTGTCCATCCATGATTAAACTTGCATTTTAAGAAAAGCCTTAAAATGGTGAGGAACCAAGAGAAGCATAGTTTAAAAAGGGATCTTGGGCAAGGCAAATGTTGTTATGAATAAGGAGATATCTGAAAGCAGGTATGGCTCCAGGATGGCTAACAGAGATGAGGAAATGGAAATGAACATATCAAACAAAGCTGAAGTGAAATTTGAAAAGCTTAATGTATTCCCTTCAGGCAGGAGACTGACTAACTAATCTCTGTCTCAGTATGCTGAAAATAATGCTACAAGTAACTAAGAATTTTGGAGCAAAGATTTTTTTTATCCATAAATTTTACAAAATCGTTAGTGATTTTTTCTATCTATAAATTTTACCAAATCTTGATATATGTTAGAAGAAACGTATAAAAGATTTTACAGAAAAAGAAAAAGCAAAAATTATCCTAGAACTAGCATCCTATAATACCAATAGAGTGATCATTAGTGTGAAGGTTTAAAAAAAGAAAACCCTTGGACACGGAGATTAAGATATTAAATATAATATAGGTGTTCAAAAGACAGCCTGTGCTGTGTTAGTCAGAGCTTTATTTGTTTGTTTATTTCTGCCTAAAAGAGACACACAGTAAGTTTCATGTCTAAGCTAGTTGCTTCTGTTGGGTAGCTCTAACAAGTAGTTTTATCAAACAAGAAACTGCCTAGAAAAGCTATCAGGAGAGAATTTACCCATGGACTAATTGATTTCTTAGTAAAATGAGCTAAAGGTTCAAATGCATAATAGGCAGTGGAAACTCCAATTTAGGCGGTATGGATCAGAGTAGGGCAGAAACACAATGGCTCTTCCAGTTTGAAATAACAGGAACCTTTAGAATTATATGGAGGACTTTGTTTCTTGACCCCAGTTTCTTGGGAAGACAGGACAAGCCTCTCCATTTTGGTCTCTAGCATATCAAGACTGAAGAGGCTTTTTTTTGTTTTCTTTAGCCTTAACCCCGTGGAAAAATAAAGCAACTTGACTCGAGAAGCAACCTTACTGCAGGCTTCTGGTGGTGTGCTTCCCCATTAATTAGTGATTTCCCTGTGGCAGTACTGTGCTGCTGGGGATAATTGCATCCTGGGAAAACTGGCTGTACCAGGAATGCTGCTGCAGGAATCCCTGTGCTGCCCTTGCAGCCAGGTCATTAACATGATGCTGCACTTAAGCTAATAAGACTTGGCTGACCTAAATGGCTTGGCCCAGAGCCACTGCAGGGATGTTTGTACCTGTGGCATGGTTCACCCACAAACCTGCATAATCTACCTGCAGACAATGGACCATGTCTGCTGTAATTGAGCACTCAAAGGCCTTTGTAGCCAGTTCTTTCCAAGATGTGCAAGCTGTTTCTCTCTGTTTCGTCTCCACCCTTTATCTGCTATATTCACACATGTAAATTTACATGAATATTTGTGTACCTATATATTAATGTTTTGCTTGGGAATGGAGTCTGTAAGTGAAGCAGCAGAGTAACTCTTTGAAGATGCAAGCAACAGTTAACATTGCCTGGGTAAACCTGCTTAGCTATTTTACCTGTGAGACAAGGAGTAACCTCTTTAGCTGGATGCCCTGCTTCTTCTCCAGCAGTTCTGCTCTGAAAGCGAAACCAAGTATAAAGCTGGCCCTGAGGGGTTGAGTACAGTGCTGTTCTGTGGCTCAGGGTGGGGAACCCTGTAGTGCTGCTCTGCTGCAGGCACTGCAGTTACAGCAATTCCTGCTCTCCTTGGAGCAGCTTGGCAAGCCCAACAGCAGAGACCTTTGTAATGCTGAGGATTCAGATAAAACCACTATGTTCAAAAGCAAGCAACACCAGGAAAGGCAAGATTCAACAAAGTAAATGCAGTGGATGGGGCCACTGGGCTGCAGAGTCCAATTGCTTCAAGACCTTCTGGCTGTGTCACCTCAAAGGAGTTTAGTTAATTCCACCTTACCTGTTTCCTCTTGGTGCACTATGGGCTTGGGAAGTGCTGAAGCCTTGTCCTCCCTGTCCCCATGGTGTAGCTGTGGTACTTCTCTGGTTTTAATTGCATCTTTACATGTACCTTCTACAGCCAATCTAAAGCTGTTCTTTCAGCATTTACTGTTTTGTTGGCTGTTTATGCAGTCCTTGTGTTGATCGGTCCAGTGTTTCCCACTGGTTTCTTTATCTGTTTTTGCTGAGCTCTGTGTGAGGGGGAGTCTTCTCTGTTAGACCTGTATTCAGAGCTGGAGGACTTGGTTCTGTGCCTTAAAAAGCTCCAGTGCAGGATGGATGCTGTGTGAGGTGTAAAGAACTTCTGAGAAAGAAATGGGCCCACTTACACTTTTCTGTGGGTGCTCAAAGGGCCTTTAGACACACCATTGTGTTCAGCTTTCCAGCAGCCTTGACTTGAGAACTTGACCTATATAAATTGCAAAAGATGTGTTGCTTCATGTTGTACCCTGTTCTGTATTTTTGCAATGTGTCAAGACAGCTGCAAAGATGAAGGAATATTCCATGAGAGTGATTCTGACTATCCATATTTTGCACATGAGAGTTGATTAGGTAATGGCCATTTGTTTCCTTAGCACTTCGAATCTATATATTCCCCCTAAGCAAATTGGGCATCTATTTGTATTCTCCCACAGAGAGTCCCCAGTGGAGTTCAGCTGTTCTTCTCTACCAAGTGTGGTTTTGTTTTGTTGCCAGATATATACAGTTCCAGAGGGAGAATGTGGGATTGTGTAGCTGCAAAGCTGGTGGTGATGGCAACTTTCCCCAGCATGCCTTCTGTCTGCACAGTGTCTGCACACCTATTGAAGAGATGTTTATTGAAGAGATGAGCCCAGGAGGAAGTGTAATTTCTCCCTGGACTTCTCCTAGGTATTCTTAATGCTTTTCCCAACTAGAGCTGAGATTTTAAACAGCTGAGAAAGTTTAGCAACATTTTGAGGTTGGTATGTTCGATGCCTGTAAAGTTCTTTGCAATTCAGGCACCCCACTTAGGTTATCTGGCTCTTCCTAGCTGTTACCCAGTGCTGTCTGAAGTGCACGAGCTGTTTTGGTGTGGTGTCACCATGCTTCATGATGACAGGATATCGAATTCATCGTAGGCTAAGCCCATATACTGTTTGTTTCTACACAGATACATTCTGCTGTAAAAATGTAGATTTTTATGGAGAAACCTGGGTTCACACAGTCTGTAGGAAGTTTGGGGAAATCCAAAGATCCTGAAGAAATGGTTCACCTAGGCTTGGAGGTTCAGCACAGCCACCCTGTCCCTTGGGCACAGGGCTGTGTCACACAAATGCAGCTGTACTGGTGAGCAGCATGTTTACATGTTTACTGAGTAGTCTGAAAAGCTTTTTCTGGCAGGGCTGTGTGTGTGCTTCAGCTAGCTTTGTCACCAGTGAGCTGTCACCAACCTCCATGGTCCTGGCTTCAGGTGTTTTTGCTGGAGCACTAAAGGTGCTCCAGGAAGGAAGGGAACTGTTGCTAAAGGATCCTACAGCCCTGCCAGAGGAACAGGTGGTTGGTAGCAAATGTTCCTACCTCCACACAGCCTTGGTGGGGACAGGCATGTTGTACTTTAGGCCTCAGAGAGCTATAGAGACTCAAGATTTGGCAGGCAATTCAAAAACCATTGCATCCTGCTTGTCGGGCTCTTACAACAGGATTTGAAGAGTCTGTAAATCCTGTTTATCTCCATTTTGTGTGCCAGTGGTTCTTGTCCAGGCATTGTCTGGAAGGAGAGCTAAAAGAAGGAATGGAGAGCAGCTTGGAAGTGGGATCAAAACTGCAGTTTCCGGAAGCTACACCATAATGAAAATGCTGTTGATTATTGTCAAACTGAACTGATTATTGTCAAACTGAACTCTTTGTCAAACTGATTATTGTCAAACTGAACGGTAAAACATGTGGATGTTCTTTTCAGTGCTAGTGAAGCCATACTTCCACTTATTTTGGTTGCAATTCTTCAGTATGTCAGGCTCTTGATTTTTAGGAGGATTTTTATGCTGTGGGTTTTATTATGAAAAGCTGAAATCGAGCAGTGCAATATGGAGGAGAAGACTGCAATTTTCATAAGATGGTTTTCATTTTTCTTTGGGGAAAAGGAGAAATGTTTTCCTGCTTTCTGTGTATGATATATAAATTCTAGATAGGGTATGTATTTTTCTGTAAGTGATGAGAAAGTTTACATCCACTTACTATCAATTGCACATGTATTTTTAATCAGCTTTGCCCTCAAATCAAATTGGCTGTGCATGTACTGGGAAAAACTTGAAGAAATAGCATCATGTTCTTCCCTGTTGTAGTCAGATCAAAAGACACATTGAGGTGAATAGTAAAGTCCAAATCAAGAAAAGTTGTTACATTTCCTTCCGGTGCCTGAAGGGGAGCCTGCAAGAATGATGGAGAGATGCTTTTTACAAGGGCTTGGAGTGACAGGACATGGAGGAATGGATTCAAACTGAGAGACAGGAGATTTAGATTAGATATTTGGAAGAAATTCTTCCCATGAGAGTGGTGAGGCCCTAGCACAGGCTGCCCAGAGCAGCTGTGGCTGCCCCTGGATCCCTGGCAGTGTCAAAGACCGGGTTGGACAGATTGGAGCAACCTGGGATAGTGGAAGGTGTCCCTGCTATGGCAGAGGGTGGAATGAGATTCAAGGTCTGTCTAACCCAACCCATTCTATGACTCCATGGTTGTGATTCAGACTCCAAAGTTGTAGAATGAGTTTAACAGAGAAATTGCATCAGAATTAAAGATACCTTCAAAATAAAATGACTGATTCATTTTTGATTTGATAAGCAGTTCTTACAGAAAATGGGCTAGGCCCTGGAATTGTGCTTGAAGAGAAGCTTTATAATACTTGAGCCAGACACTTACCTTGGTCTCCTAAGGTGGCATTTCCTGTGCACTGTTCTGATTATCTCGATGGGCATTTCCTTGCCATTTCCTTCTTCTGTGCCTGCACAGAGTCTGACTTCAGAGCTTGTGTTTGGGATCTTGTTACCAGCGAAGAATGGGCAACCTGTGTTAGAGGGCAGCTCGTATTTGTGTATGAGGTAGAGGTATCTAGAAAGAGTATTTGTGTGTTGAATGGTCATATCAACATTCTGCTGTCCTTTTTGCTGCTAAATTCACTGACCATATATGTAAATTCTACATTCAAGTATGGTCTTTAAAATTACATTAAGAATCCAGCACAAAATCCACCTAGCACAAAAATTCTTACCTGGTAGTACCTTCCTTAATAATTCAAACTGAAAAGCTGATTTTTTTTTTCTTTTATAAGGTGAAGTCTCAGAATAATCAGTGTAATGGATACACATACATACAGATAATGGAATTACAATCTGTAAATAGAAACAAATAAATACAAAAGATCGAAAACTGAAAAATAAGGAAATATATACATTGAAAAGTAGAGCAGACTTGCCACATCCTCACAATACCCAGCTGTAGAGAGGAATCTGTGAACCTGAGAAGTTTGGCACTAATACTCTGTTGAATTCTGAGGCACTTTTCTCCATTTTACCCTTCTTTTGGTTTGATGTCAGGAGTCAGCATTTAGCAAGTACATGATAAGAATCTGTGAGCAGGTTATCAGTTCCTTGGGCAGAGCTGCGTCCCACATCTGTTCTGCTTTGACAGCCAGGTGCAACCTCAGCAAGGGTGTAATCCTTCCTTGGCTTCACCTGCTTGTGCTGACAGGTTTTCTTGTGTGCAGGGCTCACTTTATTCTGGTCTCTCCTCCTTCCAGGATGGCTCGCTCTCTGTATGAGTGGCTGTGGCAGCACGAGTTCTGGCTGCCCCCAGGAATCACCTGGGAGGACATGCAAGAATCTGAAGGCACTCATTATCCTCAACCTCGTGATCTCCTGCTCAGTATCCCTTTTGCCTTAATCTTAGTAGTCCTTCGATGTGCCTTTGAGAGGTAAGTGCTTTAATGCTGTTTGAGGTTCCTTAGATACAATGGGAGCAGTTTGGGTCCAAAAGCTGGCTTTATTGTCTGTGCCAATGCATGATTGAAGAGGTCCACGGGACTCCATGTCACAAAGTCTGCTGACATAGATGCATTTTTCAGCCCCTTCTTTTCAGTCCTGTGTACTGGCTAAAGACATGTGTTGAATGTAGAGCACAAACGCTACCCTTAAGGTCTAATTGCAAGCATTGTGACTTCCTACACATGTCTAGATGAGGTTTGTGTGTGTTTTGCTGCTGTGTGCACATGTTACTTGCTGTTTCTGGGTCGAATGTGACAGAAATCATGTTAAGACTCCATCATACAGTCAATCTCCTTTATCTTGGGTGATAGGACTATTGCACCTGATCGACAGACCTGAATAGGGTGCCTCAGATTGGGCTGAGCCCTGTGCCCGCAGCGCCAGCCCTGCCTGGCACAGGGAGTGTGTGGTGCTGACCCCACACGGGCTCAGCAATGCCACTGCTCTCCACTGCCCTGGACATGGATTTGTAGCTGCTTCCTCTGACTTGAAGTTGCTACAGACCCTTGGATGCTGGCTGCCAGGATTTCTGCTCCTCTTATTCTGCTACCTGATCTGCTTTTGGGGCTGCTTTTTGCAAATTCTGTGATCCATCCTCCAGTGCTGCCACAAGAAGTTCCTCTGACTCAAGGATCTTTATGGCCAGAACCATTTTACGCATTACACTTCAGGACAGAAAATTTGAGGATTATGACAAAGGTATAGCAAAAAATCCTGCTGGTATCATTGACTCTGAGTTACATTTAAGTCCTGCCTGGTGCCATTGCTTCATGCAGTTTGGCCAGTAGTAAATGTGGTCGGTGACACAATATGATTTGCTGGTGGAAAACTGAGGCTTTCTACAGCATTAACCATTGTCAAGACTGCAGAGCAAGTCCCCTTTCATGATTTTGAATACATTTTAATGTGTTTTTCACCCCAGTATTTTTAGTAACACTCTGAAGAGGTAATCTTTTGAAATCTTTGATGGTTTTAAGTTTAGAAAGGGGGCAAATGACAATTTAATAAACATTTTATCATTCTTTTTTGAAAAGTGGTTGCACAACAAAATGGAATTGGACTTTCCTGTAGACTAGAAAGATGTTTTTTCTGCAGATTCTCTGTGACACAAACATAGCTTGGAAATGCATGTAGAAGTTGAAATTATTCAGAACTCTCCTACAATAATGTTTTTATGTAAAAATACTGGCTGTAAGTTGGGATATTTTATTAAAACCAAATGTGTGAATAATTACTGAAATAATAATTTTAAGATGATACAAAATTGAAATTCAAATATTTTCTTTGTAAACAATATGTTTAGTGTGCATTCCATCGTTTTTATCCTGCACTTTCCTGGGGACACAGGCATCTTGGTTACCCCTACTCATGTGGAAACCAGGGTGCTCTAGGTAGCCATTAAAACACAAGTGGCTCACATTTCTTCACTGATGTACAAGACCTGGCTGGACTCCTTCAGGTGGGCCCTGCTTGTCAGTGACAGGGATGTGCTTCTGGTGTGGAGCTGCAGACTGGGCCCATGAGCCACACTGGCTGGCCCTTGGCCAATTTATGGCCCCCCAGTGCAAGACGTGACCAGGAAGAAGGAGGAGCCAAACTCTTTGCTGGGGTGACTCATGGCACGACATGAGGCAGTGGGCACAAACTGAAACACATGATGCTCCATGTGCACATACAAAAACTCTCTTACTGTGAGGGTGGTTGAACATTGGAACGGTTTCCCCAGAGGGGGAAGGAGTCTGTGTGGGCAGAGATAGAGACACTCAGCTGAACACTGCTCACTCAGCCTGCTGGAGCAGCAGAGTTGGGCTGGGTGATCTCCAGAGACCCTTCCAGCATCGACTCTGTGCTTCTGTGACTGTCCCTTCATTTGCCTACCTCCTGCCACACCACCCCCACTCAATTTAAACATCTCTTTCATCTGTTTTTTGATGCCGATGGCCAAGTAAAAAGATTTTTTCTTTCCCATCCAAGTGCTGCCTCAGCTGGGAGTGTTTCCACAGACCTGGTCCTACTCATTAATTTTAAAGCTGTTTTGATTCACAAACTTCATTAAATAAAAGCTGTATGTCACACCCTTGAAAAAGATAACATCACAAGCCCATTTTACAGGTCCAGGAAACCTATAATTATAGCACTATTTTACCTATGCAAATTACAAGCCAGTGTTCTGAGCTGTATTCTTGTTTGTCCTAACTCTGCAGTCATTTATTTCAGCATGACTTTTTGTCATTCTGAATCATTACTGTTCCACATCCAGTTTATCCTGGAGAAGAAAACTTCCCCTGGGAAGGTGAGGTGTGAATCCAGCCCTCAGTTTCTCCATTGCCTTATCTGTATCTTTAAACAGTGGCACTGGCCCTGTTTAAAACAATTTACATCAAGTTTGAGAATTGCAGAAGGAAATGTGTGTTTATTTCTCATTTTCTGTGCAGACAACCCTTACTGTATATCTTTGTTCACCTGGTCTGCAGATCAAAATGAGTGGCTGTAACTAGCAGACAGGTTTGGGGTTGGTGGCTGTAGATTGCCCTCTGGCAATTTATTCTACCCTCAGCCACCACCAGCTGTTACTTGAAACTGTGCATTGGGTGCCAAGTTTTTCTCTCTCTGGATAGTTCCTGGTAGTGCCTGCTTTGGGAATTCAGACATGTTATAATGTGTTAATGTGATTTAGCTCTCAGAATTCTGGGTAAATAATGAGAGGCAGGGGAGGTCTGGAGGATTTCCAGCAATATCTGCATCAGCCATTGTGCTGGGACCAATTGTTTCATCCTTTTTTTGGGCATTAAACTTGTGAAAGAGGCTGCTTCCTCAAGGATGGATTTTCTTCTCCTTTGTACTGGCTGGGGAAAACTGAGACAGCAACATCCTTCTAAGAGCCAGCTATGCTGGGTATGAGGTGGTGGCCGTGGGAAGAGGACCTGCAGTGTCTGGGTGTGGCCTGGGAGAGCTGAGGAGGTTGTGGGTGCAGCCCTGGGGGAGAAGAAACAGCTCACAGGTCGTGAAGCAACTCCCCTGTGAGCTGCTTTGTGCTGAGGAAGGTGGGAGAAAGTGGATGCAGTGCTGGAGAATAGAAAGCCCATTAGTGCTGCAGTGCTGGGCTGTGGCACAGTATTGAGGCAGAACTGGGGGAAGCAGTTAATGATATCCTGAGAAAAGAGAGGACCAAGACCTTTGGGAACCTCCCCTGTTTCTTTAATGTTTCCAGATTGCACTTATGAGTAGGAGATGTCCTGCAACCATAACTTGGACCTTGATTTTAAGCACCTTTATACCTTAACAGAACTTTTCCCTGGACATAGTCCTGCAAGGGTGTTGTCTTCTCTTCTAGTTATGTCGTGTTTAAGGTCATTTTTGTAAAAATCAAGTTCTTGGGGTGCTATGATTCTGAAGGAATATTGCAAAGTGTTTCTTGCCTGCATGGTTAGTAAAATGTGGCAACTAAAGCACTTTGAGGGATAGTAAAGCCATTGAAAACCTGATTTACATACTATTTTTGATTTGTCTGATTTTGGAATTGTCTGGGAATTTTTGGGTCTTGGGCAGTTGAAAGGAATTGTCAGTGAATTTGAATCCACATAGCTCCCAGATTTCACTAGAAGAGGATTTTAATCAGAAATACTAGGTCTGTTTCTGGGAGGGTGGTGACAGGATGTGAGCCCTATGTTGTACATTTAAAGAAATGAACACTTTGATCTGCCAGGAACAGATGCTTGGACTCAAAACCAGAAGAAGGAAAGGATACCAATTCTGAGAATTTTATTTAGAAGTGTACTTTTCTAATGTTTATTTTGCATAGAGAGTTCTGTTGTTGATCAGTAATCACGAAGCATCTGGAAACAATTTCCTGTTAAGGTCTTACAGGCAGGGCTTGGTGCAAAGATGAGGGACACATTGCAGCATTTAAATGGAAATGGACCTGGCTCAGTTTGCACAGCAGCACCGTAGTGAATCCAGACCCTGCATCAAGTGGAACAGTCAGTTTAACTGGTGTGAAATGTTCTCCTGCAAGCAGGAGAAGGCAGAGACTACACCAGGAGCACAGCCATAGCCCTCTGCCAAAGGCAAGCAAGAGGCTAAAAGAGACTGTGCAGTTCAAAGAATAGAAGTTCAGATTGCTGCTGCCACTGGCTCTGCTTTTCTTAGTACTTGAAGGTATTTGCATGTGGCACCCATATAAATAATAAAAAAATAATCCACCCTCAAAGTTAAATTATTTCTTGTATCTCACACTAACTCTGAAAGCCTCTGCAGGAGTGTAGCCCATTTTTGAAAGATGGGAAAGTAGTAATTTAAGCCCCTTAATGATAAATTAATTTAGTTTCAACTTCAGCAGGTTTTGCACAAGGCACTTTGTTCTGTGATTACTGAATAAAGTGTCTTGGTGAGACCTCTGCCATGTAAATCATGGCGTGAGAGATGCTCACTGGTGGAGAAGTAGGCTGGTGACGAGAATCATCTCCCTGGCAGTGACTGACTCTTGAGAGGAGCACAGTTTAGTCCTCAGATTTACCCTCTTGTCTTGTGGAGAGCTGATAAAGTGCCATAATGAGGCTGTCCCTGCCACTGAGATGACGTATCTGTGATGTTGAAATCAGTGCAAGGGTTGTGCTTTGAACAGGACTTAACTGAGAACTGAGTCAGAGCATAGAGGAAACGTGTGCAGAAGTCCCTTATGAAGAATTTCAGGCCTTGGTATCCCAATGATGTTCATGAAAGTAGGATTGGTTCCATAAAACATGAATGAACTCAAAACCTCAACAACAAAGTAATTTTAACTGGTTACACTCTGTCTTCATCTGCTGCAACTGACTTGTTTCTGTTATAGCGAGGTTTTATGCCATGACCATAAGAAATCAGCAGGAAATACAGAGAAGTCAGGGATTAAACCAAATTAAGAAATTTGTCAGGACACTTTAAGTAGTTTTTCAGAAAAATAAATTTGTAGTCAAGCTGCGTTCACACCTGTCAGAAACATTCTCTTTGCTTTAATGTGTCTGGAAAATTTCATACATTTCAGTTCCCAATGCGGCCTGATAAGAAGTGGCAATAAGGTTGTTTTCAACAATAGAATTGATTACATCTTCCTCTTCAGAGGTACTTGTATTGATGCCTGATCTTTGATAGAGAAAGATCAGGCAGGCCCATTTCAAGGAACTGTTTAATATAAGAACCAAGATCTAGTGCAGAGCTTAAGGTAGATGTTTTCCCAACTTCAGTGAGTTATGGATATTACAGAGATACTGTGTTACTGTTCTTAGCACAGGGCCTGCTGGTCCACTATCACTCTTATTAAACCAATCACTTCATATTAGATGCACTTAAAATATTTATTGAGAGCAGTCAGAGCCAAAACCCAGAATTCCCAGTGATGGCTTCAGCAGCAGTGCCAGAGTGCTGCTAAATTTCACAGAAACCGTGAATTTCAATGCTTACCCATGTTTTTGTGATCACCATGCGTCTTGCCAGCAAGCTAAGTATTGCCAGCAAGGACACTTAGCCCTTTTTTATGGTAGAAATGTAGTTTTTGTTGGTCTTGGTACATGTTCCTATAGCCAGTGATGCCAAAGGAATTTCTCAGACATGATGACAAAGAACAATTGATGCACAGGTAGGTGGATTGGCTGTGCAAAAGAAAAGTGAGAATGAGCTGTTATATGAGGGAGAAAAATGTGTACCCATTCTGTGGTTTAACGGAAGTTACATAATTCCTTAGGTAAGGGGTCTTTTTATAAAATTGCTTTTAATACTTGTTAATTAAATTAAGAAATGAGTTATTGAAAAGAAACTTCTAAAAGACCCATCTGAAGGATGCTAGACCTGAAATAGTCCCTAAAGACATGCATATGGAGTATAAGCTCTATCACTAGCAGAAACCACAGGTAACCACACCAGATAATCACTGCCATAAATATATTCCATACTGTTTGAAGTACAACACCTTTGAACACCTACATAGTGAAATAGCTTTTGCAGCTTTTTTAGGCAAAGTGGAAAAAATCTTACTCTGTATCCAAATCATTAGGGAGAACTGATCAGAGGACTTGCCTGGACAGCAGGAGTGACCAGGCAGAGCAGGTGTGGGGCTCAGCACTCGCTGCCTCTGCTTGGTGCTGTCAAACCAACTTCAGCACCAGTTTGCAGTAACACAGAGACACTTCCCCAGTGGCAGCGTGTAAAAGGGAGCAGTTAATCAGAACAGCTAATTTTTGAGAAATTCAAGTGAACTTCTGATGATTTGGGTCTTTTGTTTTTTTAAATATTGTTTGACAAGTTTCCTGTTTGTTCCATATTTATGCAAGATCTCACTTCATATCTTTGATGAGGAGGTTTCCTGCTGCTGAGGTAGAGAGGAGTGTTGGTAGTGGAGAAGTTGAGTTGTTGAGCACTGGAATTTTTCTGAATAGTTTTCCTTGAGTAACTTTTTTCTATTTATGCAGATTTTTTTTTCTTGCTCTGTTTCACTGTGAAAGACTGAAGATGCACAGCTAGTGCAAACATCCATTTCTTGTGACAAGGTTTCTAGTTGCCATGTCCTTATTTTGGAACTGTGTTTGATTTATATTAGGAAACATGGATGTAAGTAACTCCAGGAAAGACCGAGTGGCTTCCTGTTTCAACAGGACATTTCTACATTAATACTACACCTCTGGCAGAACCTCCCTCTTGATCTTGAGCCAAGGCCTTAGTTCAGGTGGATGCCATGTGTGTTCCATGTTCTAGGTCAAGCAGGGAACAGCAATTAGGCCTTATTTCATATATATATATATATGTATGTATGTATGTTAGAGTCTGGTACTCCCTATCAGCTGCAAGCAAGCCAGAGGCAAATGACTGGTAATTCAGAAGTTGACAAAGGAGGAAATAGCATTTGCCAACCTCAAGTAATTTTGAATATGACAGTACAGAGCTCAGAGCAGTAGGGTACAAGTCCAACAGTTTCTTCTCTAAGTTTGTGATTTTACCTGTTCAACATGATACTCATGTTTGTATTCACATATGGGAAGCAGCTGTTATGTACTGCATCATGTTTTAACAGTGCTGCAAAATCAGAAATCACTGTTCTATTTTTGGCTGACCCTTTATGTTTTCTTTTGCAGAGCCATAGCCCTGCCCCTCAGTACCAAATTGGGTGTGAGAGACAAGCAGAGACCAAAAGCTCAGCCCAACCCCGTGCTGGAAACATTCTATAGTACACGCTGCAAGAACCCTGGAGAGGTGAGTCCTTCCCTCCTTTGCTTTTCTGTACATTTAGTGTCTTTAGCCCAAGAAAATCCCATTTGGAATCCTGAAGTTTAGCAATGTCATTCATACCAGAAGCTCAACAAAGGGAACTCTGTAGCACTCGTTCCCTGAGAGCAGCTGTCCAGGAGGGTCCTTCTGCAGTGCCATCAGCTCTGAGTTCTGCTTCTGAACACCTGGGTGCTCCCAAAAGAAAGAGTGACAGCTCCTGCTCCCTGCTTACCTTACACACAGCACCAACTGCAACACAGGGGGCTCTGCCTGGTCATCAAAGGCACTTTCTTGAGGTGAGGGTGCCCAGGGAGGTTGTGGAATTTATATCCTTGGGAGAACTCAAAGTTCTCTGGACATGGTCCTTGACACCTGGTTTTAGGTGGCTCTATTTGAGCAGGGCCTATGGGACAAGGTGATCTCCATGGTCCCTTCCATCCCCAGCCATTTTGTGATAGTTTCTTTTCATATACTGGCAAATCCTGTAAAAAAATCAGTCATATCAGCTGCCTTGAGCTCCCACATTGCTAGTCCCTGCAGCTCAGCCAATGTGTCCTGTTTGATCTCCTAGTCCTAGACTGGGTCATTCTGTGCAATCCATGAGTTTGAGATTGGCCTTGCAAGAAGCCAGAGTCTTGGTCATCATCACAGAGATTATGAGGGGCTTCAGAAACCTGCAAACACAACTGGTGGGTAGTTTTCCTCTGAGGGATAAGAAGAGTTATTTTCAAAAAATTGGCGAGATGAGTCAGAGTTATAATGGCTGCTGCTGATGGGAAAAACCACTAGCAGGATTGTGAATTGTCAGGTGATATTAGAATTTAACCTGGTCATTGAAGTCCCTGGGTGTGAATTCTGTGGTCGGGAAAGGAATCTGATTTTCTTTCAGCTTGTTTTTGTAGGCTTTCTCTTGGCCTTAAAGCAATATCTGTGAACTCTTACCAAGGATGGGTGAGCAGGGGGCTCGCTGTGGGTTCCAGACCCAAGGAACAATCCTACTCCAATCACATTGTTTTGCCAAGGCTCCTGCAACATGGTTAGTGCTGCAGTGGGGCATGAGGAGCCCCAGGACATGCAGTAACAGGTTAGAAATAAAGGAAAAAAGGCTAAAATTTAAATGTAGGTTATGATCTGGGTAGTGCAGCCAGCCCATCTCTGCAGCAGTGGGAAGAAGTGTTCTAAGGGACACTTGTCAGTGTGGTAGTCCCTGACCTTCCACTTGTGTTTCTGTTCCCAAAATCCAAACATTTCTCAGTATAACTGCTTCTATGGCAGAGACTCAAGACTCAAGACGTGGCTTTGCTACCAGGTTTTTCCCACAGCTCTCCCTGCACCCCCCATTGCACTGAAGTGGTGCTTTTCTCCCCGCAGATCTGGGATACTGGAACAGATCCTCCCCATGAGACAGCAATATGAGGTGGAGCAGGAGCTGCTGCCTGGCTCTCTCCACTCAGCCAGTCTGCTAGCTTCCTTCCTCTCCCATGAGCTCTCAAACCAGTGCTTAGAGGCAGCTTTTACTTGTCCAGTACAAGATGAGATTTTGCAGTTATTGGCAGCCATTTCTTGGGAGGAATTCCACATGATGGAGCAATTGGAGAGGGTAAATTAATGTCTCCATTTGTCTCCACCACCAAAACAGAACTCAAAAAGCAGCATATCTGAAAATTGGTAATGAACTTATTTTTGTACAGCATGCTAAAAAGGTGTAGGCCACTGTCACATGATACCAATTCAGGTAAATGAATTCCATGAAGAACTATTGCTTTATGTAAAAAATAAGGCTATCCATGATGACATTTCCAAGTAGGAATATAAAACACGACAAACTTTCTTTCATGTAACATGCCAAACTCTTAACAGACTAAGGACAAAAAGGAAGGTAATTGCAGGATTTCTGTGAGTTATATGTTGAAGAATTACCCCTAACAGGTTTACCACAACAGGAGAATATCCAATAGGAAAATTAGGTTTCCTCTGCTTATGACATCCATTGTGATACTGCATCAGAATGCTGAGAGGTGTGACAAGATTCATTGCAGAACTATAAAATATTACTTAAGCTGCAGTGATCTTTATTGGAGTGACAGATTTGAGGGATTTGGTCCCTGAAGACAGAGGGAGGAAGTGATTTGGCAACACACTCACGTGAGGAGACAAGACCAGTTTGGAACTAGGAAAGTTCACATTAAAAAATGAGAAGTTTCAACATTAGCATTTATAACCAATTGATTAGAGGGGAATGGAAAGATTTTCTACTATCCAAGATCTTTACACTAGGAACAGACTGCTTTCAGAAAGATGCATTAGCCTGAACCAGCTTGGGCTGGCCAGGAGCTCCAGCTGGTCTCTGGTGGGTCAGATGAGATACTGCCCTGTCTGACCTTTGAATCTGGATCTGAGCATGCTACCTCACCTGTTTTCCAGGGTGAGCTGCTCAGATTATCCAAGCAATGTGACCTGGCAGTGAGGAAGGTGGAGAAGTGGTTCCGGCGCCGGAGGAACATGGACCGGCCCAGCCTGTCGAAGAAATTCAGTGAAGCCTGGTGAGCAGAGCACAAGCCATGGACTCAGGTTTTCACTGGAGCTGAGCTCCACAGACAGCTCACTGCCTCGCCCTGCCCTCCATCCCTGTGCAGAGATCCCAGCTCCCTGCCTGCCCTCCATCCCTGTACAGAGCACATCTTGGTTCATGCCTGACCCACTTGGCTCTGCTGTAACTCTCTGCTGCTTCTCTGCTACAGAAACATTTCTGGATTTTCCCCCTTTATTTGCAATTCCATGTCTCCTTTTACTGCTGTATTTCTTATTTCTTACTGGGCTCTTGTTTCTGACTTTTCCTGGCTTTGTTCGACTGGCATCCTTCTTTGACACACATTTGAACCTGAAAAACGCTCTGCTGTTTACATTTTACTGCTTTGCTGCTGCATCAGTACCTCTAAAAAGGCATCCTTTCTCTTGCCTTTGCCATAGTTTCTCTTTGCCTCTCTGCAAGGAGATTCCTTCTGCTGCACCTTTTCTGCAACTGTTTTGCATACTGTTGCTTTCAAAAGCTACAGGCAGCAGGCTGGATTGGATTCCGCTGTCTTTTGACTTCGGCATCCTGAAAGTCACAAACCAGCACCCTTCCCATGGGGGTGGAAGCTTGTGAGCAGAGAACAAAGTCTGCCTTGAAACAGCTGTGTGGAAATTCTCCTTATTATGTGGAGGCACAAAATAAATCTCAGGTCAGACAAATCTGAATGTCAGTCCTGGCTCAGCTTTCCACATAAAAGGAGAATTATCCACAGCTTGGTTGGAATGCCTTATTTACAAGAGGCTGCTCTGCTATTTGTTTAAGGAATTGGGCTCTCCTAGGAAAGCCATATAGTCAAAAGAAATCATTAAATACCTAGAGTGCTATTCATCTATCTAAAAGTGTGTATCCATAGGGTAGGCATCATTGAGCTCATCAGCATGTGCTCCATATAACACTCCACTTGTAATTCAAAACCCCTGCCTAAAAACCCTAATCCAAAAAGAAGAAAAGGATGTGTATTATTTATTTATAATATTCCATATAGTTACAAATATTTACAGAAACAGTGACTAAGGCGTTATAAAGCAACAGTGTTTATTCTGCCTCCATCTGGATGAAATGTCAGCTCTCCCTGCACTCTGATGCCTTGGAGTAAATAGTAACAGTAAATAGGAAACAGGAAATCCTTTTCTGCCTCAGCCCACTGAGGACAGTGTCCTTCCACTCGCCCTCTGTCACCATGTGCAGTCTGTAGACAAAATGTCTCTGATGTGACGTAGCTTTGTAGAGTTTATTTTTATCTTGGAATTCCTGGAGGTTTCGTTGACAGGTGGAGTTTCTCAAAATATATTTACATCTGAACTGTTGTGGAGATTCTTGGAAATTAAAGGACTGGTTTAAACAGTTTTACTCCTTTGAATATTTCCTGTGGTTCGCTTATTAATAACTTGTTTATTCTTTTGGGATGAAATTCCCCTCATTCCTTACTATATGTGTGAATATTCAGGTGACCTTCCTCTGTCCACTGAGCTGGGCAAACAGTTTGTATGTACTTGTGTGGGTTTGATGTTGGTAAATCGTTACTGGCTTCTCACTGGGCCAAACATGACAGCAGTTAGTTACTGTACATGATAACAAATTTAGCAGGCTGGATCTCCAAAGGCCTAGGAGAGAGATTGGCATTGTTTCACTTTTATAAATGCATCTGCTACTGCTGGTAAACTTTGGGATTATTCCCTGTGGGATTTTAGTCAGAAAGATTCTTGTGTTTTCTGCCATCTCTACAGCAAAGGAATTGCTCTTTGTGAAGTCTGTGAAATCTGCTGGTAGCATGCAAAGAGCTGTTCCTGTTTTGGTCAAACCTTGAACATACTAATGTGTCTTTGCCTCAATAGTGTTATTCTTTGAGTTGGTGTGAGGATACACAGACTTGCAGCTCAGGGGATAATGAATGGGATTCTAATTCACTTTGTTTTGTTTGTTTGTAGCTGGAGATTTACATTTTACATCATTTCTTTCTTCACTGGACTCGCTGTCCTGTATGATGTGAGTACACATGCAGTCACCTGCTGTTCTACCCAGCCAACACCTGCAAGAATGGCAGAGTTTGTTGTCAAACATGCCTTTTCAGATCTGCTTCCAGAGGTTTTCCATACAGGTTGGTGTGTATCCCCTGCATAGCACACTTGGGAGACCACAGACATACTGGACCATGCTTATTTTAAGGACTCCAGTTTCAAGATGTTTCCTCTTCTCCTGGCAAAGCAGAAGGCAGTTGGGATTGTGTAAAAGTAAATTTCTGCAGAGTAGGAGATAGAACACTTACCTAAGCTGGAAGCTGCAGGGCCTGTGTGTTGTATCCAGTACCTCTTTAAGGTAAAGAAACTGAGCTTCCTTTGGAGCATGGGCTGCAATTTAATAATTTTATCTGCTAATTTTCTTTTCCTTACCCAAGGTGTGATTGGTTCAGGCTCATACCTCGGCATTTTCTCCAATTTGATAAGTAGTGAGTTCTCTTCATACAGTTTGAACTGCCTCACCAGGCAGAAGTGGTAAGAGGAGCCATGGGTGTGCTCTAATCCCTAAGATGGGACTAGGGGCACTGGCCGTCTGTTTTAAAGGTTCCCCTGACTCTTTTGCTGCATCTCGTTCCCTGGGTGAGCTTTTCAAAAGTCTTCTGGTACAGCCTGATGAGTTAAATGATGGAAAATGTGCACATCCCAAGGCAGCAGGCAAAAACTCTCCTTGTAACCATTCATTATAATAAGTGTAGGACTTTTGAACTTATACAGACTTCCAAGTCAGATTTTAAGGTACTCAAAAGTATGAGGGTTATAGGATGAGCTAGCTGAGGAGTGAAGCTTGAGTCCCAGCTGCAGTGTTCTGTGGATCTGTACATCAAAACAGAAGGCTGTTCTTTGAGGTCAGCTATGGAAATTTGGTCTGGATGACCTGCTTAGCATTGTACAAGAGCCCTGTGGCAACAAGGGCCAAAATCATATTCCTTCAGCATGTTATCTGTCCATTATATGGATTATATGGATTTTGTGAAACTCTCTTCTTTCGTTAGGATAAAAGCAAATGTTTAAATTCTGTATTAGTAGTTTTGGACTGATAGCAAAAATCTCTGCCTGTGAATCAGTGAAACAGCCTGTAACAAAGGGAGGTTATCTTCCAGTAGGCCACCAGAAATCAGCTGTATTTGCTGAGAGTAGAGGAATTAAGAAATTCAGGGATCTGGAGTTCCTTTCTGGCTTAGGTAAAAGTATTCCATAGTTGGTTCATAGTTTTTGCTTTGTCCTTTCTGGTTCTATATCACACATCTCTCCTGGTTCTGCACATGTATTTACTGTAAATTCTACTCCCAACCTCACTCCAGTCAGCCAAAGACTGCATCTGTTCCATATTCCCACTGCACCTAAAACCACTGCCTCCTGCTTCACCTGTGTGTCACCCACACACCAGCAGTGCTCAGTGAGAAGAAGAAATGCTGCTGCCTTCTTGCCTCAGCTCTGATACCTGGAGCCCTGTAGAAGTTAGAGAAAATTGCCCTCATAGGTGTGAGGTGTTGTGGTGTTCTGTGAGCTCTGATCCAGTCTGGGCACAGCTCCAGGCAGAGCATGCTCCATGCAGGGGGGGCTCTTGGGGACTTCAGTTGCCGTGTTTCTATGAAAGTTTCAAAAGTGCCAAGTTCTAAATGACCAATTTTCTATTGAACAGAGTAGGATCTTTTCAGAGGTTCATTACTTAACAAACTGCAGCATAACCTTCACTGTCAGAGGAAAAACCACATGCCTGACACACCAGTTTTCAGCCTTCTATCTACCTTTAAGTGTTATTGTCTAAATCACAGATATTCCTAATGAAATACTTGTAAGATTATTTTTAGATGCTCAAAATATCACCACCACCTCAAGCTTGTAGAAGACTGCAAAAAGTCAGGAGGGGTTTTCTCTGAGCTATTTTATTTGGGATGGCTAAATGGTGTGTGAGATTTCAGGCAAATACCCACAATTTGGAAATGTCACAAGCAGATGCAAGTCCTTGTAGTGGAAATCTCTTGGGATTCCAGACAGTGAGACCAGCTCTGCCTGTAATAAAACACAACAAAGTCTAGCAGTAACAAACTAAAGGAATTATACGACTGATAAGAAAATAACTCCTCTGATATTCTCACATACATGTTGCATTTTTGTTGCAGAAGCCTTGGTTTTGGGACCATAGAGAGTGCTGGACAGGATATCCGCAACAGGTGAGCCACACAAGAAGGAAAGTTGCTGTTATAAATTTTGTATTGTGTTTCTATATTATTCTGAAAATCAGATTATATTAGTGACAAAAAGACACTGAATTAAATTCAGACACAGAAGACCTAAGAATTCAAAGCCAGACCCTCATCTGGTGAGAACATATTTGTACCCAGTATCATCTAAACACAAGAGAAGATGAATTGACAGAGCCCTTTGTCACTGCCAAGAGAAAATGAAGGCTTATGTTCCAGGCTTTTTTGTCTGACAGCCAAAGCTAGAGCAAGACCCCTTGACTGTATGTAGAGGTTGAAAACCCATAAAGGAGAAAGTAATGCCCAATTCTTAGAGTGTGAGCCACAGGAAATGTAATGGGACAAATGACTGAAGAGTGAGGCAATGCCTTTCAAGACGAGTCTCTGAACAATCTGGTATTGTGCGAACACAAAAACTTTAAGGGCAAATCTGTAGTTCTGTGTAAAAATTAAACCATACAAACAAGTGGGGCTCGAATAGGAATGTAAGACTGAAAGGATCACTCAGGTCCCTCTGTCTCCTGCTCCTGTACACGTGCAGTATGTGTCTTGTCTAAAACAGTGGGACCCTCCATCGTGGCACACTGTGGTGGACTGACCCTGGCTGGCCACATTGTGCCCACCAAGCCCATTTTTCTTTCCCCTCCTCAAATGGAAAGGGAGGAGAAAATAGAGCAAAAGGCTCACGGGTTGAGACAAAGACAGGGAGAGAGCACTCACCAGTTACCATCACAGGCAAAACAGGCTTGACTTGGGGGAAAATTATTTTAATATACTGTTAATGAAATAAGAGTAGTTTTATAAGAAATAAACCCAAATCTTAAAAACACCTTCCCGCACCCCTCCCTTCTTCCTGGGCTTAACTTCACTCCCACATTCTCCACCTCCTCCCCTGCAGTGATGCAACAGGATGTGGAATGGGGGTTGTGGTCAGTTCATCACCTCTTGTCTCTGTTGTTCCATCCTCCTGCTCGAGCTTTTCCCCTGCCCTGGCAGGAAGGTTCTCCAGTGGGAGACAGCTCTCCATGAATCTCCACTGTGGCTGCTTTCCACAAGATACAGTCCATTAGGAGCAGACTGCTCCATCGTGGGTCCACCACAGGTGCTGCCAGGAGCCTGTCCCAGCACAGGGTCTCCACAGGCTCAGAGCTTCCTTAGGCCACATCCCCCTGCTCTAGGCAGGGGTTCTCCAGGGACTGCAGGTGGATTTCTGCTCCCTGCAGAGCTCCATGGGCTGCAGGGCCACAGCCTGTATCACCATGGGCTGCTGGGGAATCTCTGCTCCACCACCAGGAGCTCCTCCTCCCCCTCCTGCACTGACCTGAGGGTCTATAGAGTTGTATCTCATACTCTCACTCCTCTCTCGGCACCACCCTTGCCCAGCAGTTTTTTCTATTCTTAAATAGATTGTCCTCAAGGCACTGCCACTATCATTCATGGAACCAGTGGCAGATCCACCTTGGAAGTGTCTGGAACGGGCTCTGCTGGACAGGAGGCAGCTTCTGGCATCTCACAGAAACCACCCCTGCCCCACCCCACTATGAAAACCTTTCCATGTAAATCCAACACACACCCATTTCCCAACCTTTGTAACAACCAGAAAATACCAAAAGCAGGGCTGGTCATGTCCCTCTGGCGAAGAGCAAGTCAAGGACAAACCTGTTTATTAGCAGGAAAAACAAATGTATTAATTATAATTTCTACTAAACAGACCATGCCCTGTGCTACAGAAGATGACAAAAGAAACAGCAGTTCTCCCAAATAGTCTGATCTTTGAGGGGGAAAAAAATAGCTTCTGATCCAGAGCTCCTGTTTGGATAACCTGGAGTGTGACCAGCACATACCAGTTAGGGAGATGTTCATATGATCCCTGGAAGCCCCAGGGCATCCAGCTGTGCTTCCTCTTGTGGTCAGTTGCTGGTGCTACAAAGGAAAACAAACTAAAATTTATGAAAGCCATAAATAATCAGTTGGTATTTGGGAGCACAGTACTTCGTGTTCCTTTGGAAATGGTTGCAAAGCCCCTTTAGTCATAGTAATTATTTATCAAATAGATTCAGGTTTAAGGAGATCATGTAGTGCCACAACAGCAGAAATTGCTTGTTAAATAACAAGATCTTGCTGAGTGGGTTTTTGCTTTCAGTTTCCCAGCTGTAAAAGCCCAGATAATTTACCCAAAAGAATGTAAATTACATTTCTTGCTGGGGTTGTATTTCGCCCCATTAGTTTGATTAAACTGGAAAATCTGTGACAGAGTGCAGGGAATCTGAAGCATCTGAAGCCTAAAAAAGGGAGTGATTTATTCAGCTACTCCTTTTCTACCATGCTCAGGAATCGGAATACTGCTGAAGAAATCCTAAAAATATTCAGCATCTCTATGGTGGTTCCCTAGATGTTTGACATGGTATGGTAAAGTGGAATTTCCCCTTGATTTCTTAGCACAGATGACATTTAGTAAGTGTGTTGTTGTTGAAGTATTTCCCCCTGTAGCTGCAGGAGCCAGCTTTGTTGATTTGGTTGTTGTATTGGGTTTTCATGGCCTGGTTTTGGTAGCAGAGGTCTACAGAGATGGCTTCTTAAGAAATTGCCAAAATCTTCCTCCATGTCCAGCAGAGCTAATCCCTGGTGGCTCCAAGGTTGAATGTTCCACTGGCCAAGGCTGGGCCGATTAGAAATAGCAGTAACACCTCTGTAATAACAGATTTTAAAAGAAAGACAAAAAGGAAAAAGTTACTGCACAGTTGTATCTGCAGCCAGAGAAGAGTGGACTGAGAACATGGGAGAGGAGCAACTCTGCAGACACCAAGGTCAGTGAAGGAGGGGCAGGAGATGCTCCAGGCACCAGAGCTGAGCTTCCTCTGCAGCCCTTGGTGAGACCATGGTGAAGCAGCTGAGCCCCTGCAGCCCATGGGGATCCATGGGGGATGCAGAGATCCACCCACAGCCCATGGAGGGGGATCCATGGGGATGCAGAGATCCACCCACAGCCCATGGAGGGGGATCCATGGGGATGCAGAGATCCACCCACAGCCTGTGGAGGAGGGGCCCACACCAGAGCAGAGGGATGCCTGGAGGAGGCTGTGACCCTGGAGGAGACCCATGGAGAGAAGAGCCCTGCTCACAGGCAGGAGCAGCCTGTCCTTGGAGGACTGCACCCCATGGATGAGTGACCCAACCCACAGCAGTTTGGGAAGGACTGTTTTCTCTGGGATGAACTTAGGTTGTGCCATTTCAGAGAGAGCTGTTGCCTTGTGGGATGGACTCACATTGCAGAAGTTCTTGAAGAACTATCTCCTGTGAGAGGGGCCCCACAGTGCAGCAGGGGAACCATTCCTCTCCCTGAGCAGCAGGAGAAACCATGGGTGATGAACTGACCACAACCCCCATTCCCATCTTCTTGCATCACTGGGGTATGGAGGTAGAGCTGGGAAGGAGGGAGGGGCAGGGGGAGGGGTGTTTTTAAGGGTTTATTTCACTTCTCATGATTGTGCTCTGATTTTGTTAGCAATGAACTTAATTCATATCTCTCATATTAAAGTCTGTTTTGCCCATCACTGTATTTGATGAGCAGTCTGTCCCGGTCCTTATCTCAACACATGAACCTTTAGTTGTATTTTCTCTCCTCTGTCCAGCTTTGCAGGGGAGTGACAGAGCAGCTTTGGTGGCTGCTGCCTGGCATCCAGTCAGCATCAACCCACTACGGCTTTTGTCTTGAAAGGAGTTTTCACCTGCAGCTCTTGCACTAATGTATCTGATGGGTATTCCCCTGTCTCTCCCTCTCTCTCAGCCTCTCCAGCCCTCCCTGTTCTGGTATTACATGCTGGAGCTCTCCTTCTACTGGTCACTGGTCTTCACTTTGCCCTTCGACGTGAAGAGGAAGGTGAGTGGCAGTCCCCGGGGAGAATCAAGTACAAATAGGACACAAGCTGAACACTTAGCAGAGTGATCTCTAAGTGCATGTGTGTAGTGCTAGTCAAGGTGTTGTGGGACTCTATCCTTGCTTATTCACAGGAATTTTCATTCCCAATCACTGGCTTTCTCTACTCTGGGAAGTGGACCACAACAACATTGACACAGAAAGGTGCAAAGTACAGCAGAGTTCTCAATCCAAATTTAAAATCCAAACATAAAAATTGTTCTTCTGTAACTCTTCTAGGTGCACTGATCATAGAGACAGGAAAAGAGGTGGTTCTCTGCCAGTAAAGCTGCTTATGTTCCTGGTGCCAGTGTCCCAACAGACAGGGTGCAGCATCAGACCATGGCTAGTGAAGGGAAAGAATGTTCTTTGTTGTGAGATCCTCAGTTTACACCACAAACTTTTCATTCCTGGGCCTACATCTCTAGAATGCATTTGGTGAAAGAATTACATGAGTAAGACTTTGTAGTGAGAGGTTTCTTAGTAACTAAGTAGAGAGATACATCATTGCTACCAGTGGGAACCACACTTGCACTGAGGCAGGAGTTGCATTATGTCTTTTATTCTCTGCTGTTACCCTTCTCATCAGGATTTCAAGGAGCAGATAGTCCATCATGCTGCGACCATCTTCCTGATCAGTTTTTCATACTGTGCCAACTACATCCGCATTGGGACACTGGTGATGGTGATTCATGATGCTTCAGATTGCTTCCTAGAGGTGAGCCAGGCAGAGCCTAGTCAGCTATGGTGCTCTTCAGTCACACAATGTCCTTCTGTCTAACACAACATGGGCCAAGCACTGGGGTGTTCCACAGATCCCTCGTGCTGCTCTGCTGGCTCAGCCGAGGCTGCCCAGCTGCGAGCAGGGCAGAGCTGTGGTTACCTGCAACAGGTTGTGTCATACCTGTCTCATTAACCCCCCAGAGTGTGTGCAGATGGTGTCTTGGCTGCTGTTTTATTGCTCTTTCTCCTTCCAGCCAACTAAGATATTCAACTACATGAAGTGGAAAAAAACTTGTGACAGCCTCTTTATGATCTTCTCAGCTGTTTTCCTGATCAGCCGCCTGGTCATTTACCCCTACACGTGAGTCTGCTGCAGGGAGGGGACATGGCAAAGCTGCCTTCTGAGAGACAGGATGATTAGCTGGGTGCTGCAGCCTTTGTTTTCTGGTCGTGGAGCATATGTTCCTGCCCTTGGCACAGGCTCAAGCGCCACATGGTATTACACCTGCCTTAGGATAAACAAGGGTGCTCTGCCTTGGGGTTCATCGAGCAGTCCTGAAGCCCTGAAGGGGGCTGCAGAGGAGGAGCCCTGGGCCAGTGGCTCTGTCCTGTCTACTTCAGGTGGGGAACTGGTAGTTCCACATGTGATAAGTAAAGATGGAAGTGGCTGATCAGAAACTTCCTCTGTGACTACAAATTTCTGGGGCTTAATTGTGGCCTTATTAACAACATGCTTTATTGCAATCTGCTCTGTTTTGCAGAGTGCTTTATAACACCTACTATTACTCCATGGAGATATTCCAACCCTTCTTTGGATACTACTTTGTGAATGTTCTCCTGATAATTCTGCAGCTGCTCCATGTCTTCTGGTCCTGCCTAATTATTCACATGGTCTACAAATTCATCATCCAGGGCACGGTATGCATCAGTTTGTAGGATCCTTTACATCTCACAGGGAGGGAGGGTCCACCTAGACTGCTTGAGCATACAGGGGTCCATCTGGCATAGATTCCTTATTGTTCTAGTGAAATTATACATGTATATTACCAAGAATGAGGTGGAAATAAACTCAGAAATATTAGGGAAAGCTGACCATAAAAATTGTTATGAGTCACTACTATATTGGGTCCACTTCTGATGCTTATATTCAACAAAAATGTGGATTGGACTCCAGGAGAGATGTCTGTGAACAAAGCCAGTGACATCTGAGTAAAAATCCCAACACTGTGCAGTATGATTTGCATTTGTAACAAGTCTAAGAAATCAAGGAAGGGAAAATTGTCATGATTGGTGAGGTCAGTGCAGAAGTGTTTCCCTTATTGAACAGGATTTTTGACTACAATTGTGTTATGGTGCTGTAGATCTCACACAGTAGGTATTTCTGTCTAAACCGGCTGCCTGTGCTCTTCTTGCAGCAGTGGAGAGTAACAGGCATGCCCAAATTACAATCCATTCCATATTGCACCTAGCAGTGCTGCTCAACAGGCACAGAGCAACCAGAGATGAGTGTCTGAGCTCCAGCTGTACAAACGGAAGTGGAATGCATCCCACATCCCACTCTTTCTGGCCTATAGTAGTTGCTGTGAGACCAAACTGCTGCTCAGCATGAAATATTTACCAAAATCAAAGCCATGACTGGCCACATGCCAAGGATGCAGTCCAAAGGTGACCAGTCAGCACCTTGTGGGAACTGACCTCAGAGCCCAGGATGATTTGTTTTATTAGGATCCAGCTGAGGAATTCTGTCTTACAGGAACTGAGAACTAGCATTAAAGGCTCCTCTTTATCCTATTTTCTTTATCTGCCTTCCCTTAAGATAGCACACAGTAAATTACTTGCAGATTAGGAAACAGGGCCAGAATTGAAGACATAACTGAATACAGCCTTTTATTGTTTTCTTAGTTTTTGTGTGGGCTGAATTACCATTGCAGTTACTGTAGTGTAAATGATGAGGTAATAAATAGTCTTATTAGAAAAAAAAGAACCATCAGGGAGGAAAATCCTGAAGCATATCCAGAATTTTTCCTGTTTTATCTAAAATTGATCTGCCAGATCTGTTATAAAAATATATTTGAGAACTTTCTGTAGTGAGCAGTAAAAAGCAAAAAAGGATTGTCCTAAACAGATCTGTTTCAATGACAGTATTTTGTAGGCCAAAGCAGTATCAGCAAGAATACAGAACATTCTCTCTTTGAGAACCATGAAACTCTTGCTGCAATCAGTTCATGTTCTTCTTGCAGGCCTTTCTGGTCTCCATGGTTTTCTTCTCTGTCTACGGGATAATCTTTACCACCTTCTCACATGATGTTCCCTAATCCCAAGTAATTCGAACTCAGCCTAGATCCTGAAGTACAAGTTTCATTCCCTCATGGAGGGAGCAACTTTATAGTTCCTTTGGGAATCTTGCCAGATTTTAAGGCCTCAGCCACATTCTCTGGCTATAAATGGATATATTTAGAAATATTGACTAGGATTTGTCCTTATGCTGCAGATCCAGACTCCTGCATATTTCCTGATCTCTCAGTTCCAGAGTGATCAGAGGTGCAGGTTGTTCACAGCAGATGCTGCCTTGGAGACAGATTGAATTCAGTGCAAGTTTAGATTTTTACAAATCCTGTCTGCATCTGGTTGTAGTGATCTCTACAAAAAGCATGAGCCCAGATAGAGTTCTCAGTATGATCTGGGATCTCAAGAAAAATGGACACCCATAAATGGAGACTAAATTTCTGGGCAGCACTTGATTTGCCCCTGATCAGTTTCTAAAGCTCATGTCACAGAAGGGGTTTGCAGCTTTCCCTTTTTCCAACAAAGAGTGCGACACTGTGAATTTCTCCCCAGTATTGGCATTTTATATGGCATGGCAGAGACAGCCTGATGAGCCAGGAAATGCTGAGCTGCTTTTTCTAAAATGTCATTTTATCCCATTATTTCTTTTTTGCCTTCCTTTTAAGGCAGTTAATTAAATACTTACAGAAGGGGATTACAGGTCTCTCAGGCAATAAACAGCAAGAGGAAAAGCCTGACCATAAAACTGAATGTAGTCAGAGTGGAGTGGCTTTGTGCTGAGCCTTTGGGAAGCATCTGTTTCCAGCCTGTCCCAAGCAGTGTTGTCAGTCTGCAACCACCCAGGCCATGTAGGCAGAAGTTAGCTCCTTGTCCCTTTTGGAAAGTGTAGAAGAGCTTGGTTAACAGCCTCCCCCATCCTTCTCCCTCATGCTGATGACCTGGGCAGCAGTGTGGATCTCCTCAGGCTTGCACAGTTATCCTCAGTCCTGGGCATTTGTGGTTTTGTTCTGCTCTGCAGCCTGTAATTCCTAATGTGTAACAGGATCACAGATGGGATTCCAGTGAGACTGAAATCAGAGGCAGGGAGAATCTGTTCCCCTGGGTAATGTAAAAGCTTAGGGACAGAGCAGGACTGTGCTGAGGGCGAGTGGCTGAGGCAGCAGGTGGATGGTCAGCCTGTGGCTCAGCCATCACTGCTGCTTGTGCAACTGCTGTGTTTGTCTGGCTTCTCACTTACCTGTTTTTGTAGATGGAAAAGGACATGAGAAGTGACACAGAAGAAAGTGACAAGGATGAAGAAAGAGATATAATTAGAGAAAAGGAGACAAATGGGATTACGTATTTCAGCAACGTCACAAGCAATGGTTACATCCAGAGGAATGGGTCTGAGCCCCTGGACAACAGAGCCCACCTTGCCAATGGCCATGCCAAGGAAAGATAGCTGCTGTCTGTGTGCTGCTGGTCTGGCCTCCAGCAAACCCAGGCCACCATCTGTAGAAACAGTTTTGCTCACTGTGTAGATAAATTGGAGTGCAATTGCAGTATTGTAGCTGAATTCCTGCTTCCCGTAAACCAAAGTGTTTATAGTCAGTGATATTTGAAGGAAGTCTTTGTCTTCCTTCAGTAAAATCTTACAATAGATTGTAGCCTCAAAAGTGATAGCAAGGGATCAAAGTGGTTTGACTTATATTGACTGTACCATAATTGTTGTCAAATGTGTTAATCTTGAAAAATACTTCGAAAATAAAAAGGTGGATAAATTCTAGCACTGTCAAGTTTTACCCACCTAATGTTTGATAGGAATCTGTTGAGCCTGGATCAGTCTCTGGAAGCCCTGGCCTATTGCCAGTAACTATTATGGCTGACAAGTGACAAGTCTTACCACTGGGATACCTCTTCTGAGAAAACAGGTGCCCTGTATACACTTACAGAATTAAAACTAAGCATAGTGAAATTAAAGCTTTGGAAAGACATAAGATAAAGCATGTTCTTCTCAAAGGAAGTACTTTTTGTGCCTGTGACCAGTTTTGTAATGGTATGGATCTCAGTCCCTACTTATTGCCCCTAAGGAGGAAACTCCAAAGGCCAGTCTGGAGGAGTACCCACCCAAATCACATTGGAAGAGCTGGAAAATTCAGACAGCTTTTCTCAACTGTCAGGTAATCATCTAAACCTGTCTTGGAAGGAAGTAGTCAGGAGAAGGGAGGTAATAAGGAACTATGTAGTCCAGAAGACAGCACTGATGAAAGTGCTCATGTTTTCACTTAGTGTGACTGGCACAGTGGGAAATGTTTACAGAGTCAGCTTGTGGCAGAAAGGGGATACATTTCCCCTGCTCTCAGAGGAGAAAGGGTCCAGAGAAAATCTGCTGAACCTTATGGAATAATGCTTTAGCATGGCCTTCTAACTCTAGGGCCTTTTTATAAGGAATAGCAAGTATAAAGCAGTGGTCCATGAAGTCATGATGTAGTGCTGATTCAGTTCATTCAGTTGCCATATATTGTATTATGTGTAGTCTTAGATTTTTGGATTGTGCAATCTCTTAAAACATTTAAATTAGTGTTATGTGAATATTTGTTTTATAGGCCACTCAATCTATGATACTGAAGTATTAACAGATTCACTGTAATGAGTTCAGGGACTTAGACTACTGAGGCCATGCAGACACTGCTCTTTATGTACCTACTGCTAACTGGGCAGGGATGGGGCATGGACCAAGGAAAAACTGTATTTGAGGAGGGGTGCACATGTTTAAGTTATAAAGGAAGTGACAGTATAGAAAGACAAGAGGATTATCATCACTCAGGTCACCTGAGATGTTACTGAGAAACTTTGATCTGAGCGTGTGTATGCTCATCTTCTCTTTCAGTCAAAATCCATTTGGGTAAATGGATTTCTAAACTGGAATTGGATAATTTCAGAAGGGAAAAAGTGGTTCCAGCATGTGTGATTCCAGGGCAATAACATGCTATGGGAGGAGGTTTCTGCACTGTCATTTAAATCTTGATTTGCTGAAGATAGTCTCTGGAACCTTAGCTCAGCTGGTGAGAGCATGGTGTTAATAATGCCAAGGTTGTGGGTTTGATCTCTGTATGGCACATTCACTTAAGAGTTGGGCTCGATGATCCTTGTGGGTCCCTTCCAACACAATATTCTGTAATCCTGTGATAATTGCAAGTTGGAAGCACATTGTACGCTGTGATCTGAGTGTATGGTCTCACCTCTGTGCAGGTGGTGTGCTCAGGAGGGATAGTTATATATCATTTTATACTACTGAATGTAAATGTTCTTTATAAACTGCTTTTAAAGGTTTGATTGTCTGGTCTCTTTTCTACTTCTTTAACCACCAGGAGGTAAACCTGACTGGCTGCACCTTACAGGTGGATGTATGATGAGGGAGACCCATGTGGGTGCCATTGCCAAGGGGAAGATGTTGCATACACAGGACACACAGCCACACTGAGCCTTGCCATTAAAGAACTGCAGCTGTTAGGTTTGTCTCCTGCTCAGTAATACTGTTTGGCCCTGGAACAAGGGACCATTTGGGACATCCCTGCACTAGACTGGGGCCAGGCCAGGCTACTTGGTACTGCCAGGACAGTGCAAGTCCAAGATGGCAACACCAGGGAGGTGCTTTGGCGTTGCAAGGGTAGGAGGAGAGAAATTAAGATCTAGAATTCTTTTTTGTGAGGTTTTAAGAGGCATGGGGAGATCCCTGTTGTAAAATCACACCACCTCTCCTCTGAGGAGCAGAATGCTTCCCAGAGTCTGCACAATGCCCAGTGGAGCCAGTGCATGTTAATGCCTGCTGGATTTGATCATCAGGGCTTTGTTGTGTCCCCGAAGACTGAGATAAGCTTGTTAGGAGGCTAATTTGGTTCTTATCAAAGATACATCAAGGATACAGGAGACTTGTTGGATTTGAGCAAGAACTACTGAGTGCTGCCTTTAGCTGAGGAACTGAGCATAACAGTGATGAGCCATGGAGGCAGATCAGCTGCTGAATTTGTTTGCTTGCCATCAACTTGCTAAGGCTTGAAGAAGCATTCAGCTTCCACCCTGGACTGCTCCACCTTCTCTCTTTATGTTTGCTCCAGGGTTGGGAAGCTTCTGAGTAGTGTGATAGGGTCTAGGAATTTAGTGTATCCATCCTCTCCTCTGTTTGCACGTGGAGCATCACAGCTCCCCCCACAGAACAGCTGTTGTGGGAAACTTGCAGCAAGTCTGTCACCACCAGAGCAGATCTTTGAACTACCAAATCCATGAGACTGGGGAAGGCCTCTGAGATCATCAAGTACAGCCCGTGACCAGTCACCACTTTATCAGAGCAGAGCACTGAGTCCAGTCACTTTTTAATTAACACCAGGGATGATGTCTCCACCACCTCCCTGGGCAACCCATTCCAATGTTTAACAACCCTTTCCATGAAAAAATTCTTTATGTCCAACCCATACCTCCCCTGGCATGGCTTGAGTCTGTTTCCTCTGTTCCTGTCACTTGTTCCCTGGGAGCAGAGCCCATCCCCACCTGGCTGCACTCTCCTGTCAGGGAGTTGTAGAGAGTGAGATCACCCTGAGCCTTCTTTTCTCCAGGCTGAGCACTCTGAGCTCCCTCAGCTTCTCCTCATAGGACTTATTCTGTAATGGAGCGTTCCATCTCCAGATGGAGCACTGGGGTTCACAGCAGGGCCTCTCTTTCCCCTTTTTATCTCCTGTATGCACAGATGAGATGTGTAACATCACATAATGCGTGCCCACATAATGTTAGTGAGCAGCTGTGGGAGATGAGGCATCCAGCTCCAGGTGAGCCATGACAAAAAGAGCATACACGGATGCTTCCAGGCTGCTGTGAGGTGGGTGAGTAAAGGCTGGCACAGTGTGGCCCCCAGGCTTCCCTAGCCCAAAATTTTGGCTGACATGAATCTGCTGACTCCAGTAGACGTGGACATCTGGTGCCATTTTAGATCTTACTTTAAGAATAATTTGGCACAATTGTTTCCTTCTTCCTGCACATAGTAAATTTCAAAGATCTCCATTATCACATTATTTCACATTATTTCATTCAGAAATGTATGCCCAAGGGAACCTTTTCTTGGATGGCTGCACTTGGAACAACTTTGCTTTTCTTAATTCTCACAGGTACAGCAGACACACTGCCTACAAATAAAGGCAAGGCCTTGTTCAAAAAGCTGAAGTCATGTCTAAACAAGGGAAAGGATCTATAACTTTGTCAGATGAATCTAAGCATGTGATAAAGCAGGCCAAGAAATACCCTGAGAAAAAAATTGAAAGGCAATACCAGTCTCTGAAACATTGGCAAGATAGCTGGATTCAGAGATGATAGTGGCAGACAGCAGGAACACTGGGATAGGTCAGGCTAGAACCAAGAAATGCAGTGAGCTGCCCTGTATGGCTTCCCAGGGACACATGGTCTAATACCTGACATCTCACTGAGGCCATATTCCAAGAGGATCCACTTCAATAGGTGAGAAAATGTTACCTAGCACACAGATTAACTGAGTAACAGCAAACCTTCAAACCCATTGACAGGAGGAAATTTATTCTTAGAGGAGTTTAACTACCAACTGTGGAATGCTGTTTTTTGTTTCAAATCATCTTGTTATCAGAAAAATTTAAGAAGGTTCCAAGTGGGAATGTGAGAAACTACAGCCATCTGCAGTCTGACGTGCAAAGCAGTAGAAAGTATTATATGTGATATATATCAACTATTATACATCATAGAGCTTTTGGAAACAAATATGAACATAATAGGAAAGAGTCTCCATGGGGTGGTCTGTGGGGAAATTGTCTCATTCTGCTGGAGTTACCCCAAAGAATTGGTGAGCACATCTAGTGGAGAGAACCTGCACCCTGCTCAGCTTTGCAAAGGCGTTCAGAAAGGTTCTTCACCAGTCTGAGGAAACCCATCTGAGTTGGCTATAAGAGACCAACATGGGTTGTTTGCAGCTGTGTGTTGTTGCAGGTGCCACCAGAAAGGGGGAATGAAAGGCAGACAGCAAAATCAGCTGATAATGAAGGTTTCTCATGATAGTGTTAAAGATTGGCTCCATCTGCTAGGGAAAGCAGGGCCCTCTCTTGAAATGGAGAAAGTAAACCCTTTGAATTAGTATAATTTTGAAATTAAGGGGCTCTCAGGCAAAGATATGAGGATAGGAATAACAGTTCTTTACTAGTATGCATAACAAGGCAAACAGAACAGCAACCATGGATTTTCTAACAAACAGAACAGGAACCTAATTCCAGTCCTCTCAGCCATGGGTTCTGTCCCTTTGGTGCAGTTCCTGTCACAGCCGGCAGGGGGCGCTGTGGGCGGGCGGGGGCGATGGTTCCTCCACGCCTGCAGGGGGCGCTGTGGGTGGGCTCGGGAAAGCACGCGGTAATGGCGGCTGGGCCCGGATGGGAGGGGATGGAAAAGAGAGGCTTTGCTCACGAACCCTGGGGCAGGGTCGGTCCCGGCGCTCCAGCAGGACTGTCAGAAACAGCACGCTGAAGCAGCAAGGCAGGGGTGCGGGGTTTAACAGCAGAGGAAGAGGCAGCTCCCGGCTGGGCTATGGCGGCAGTAGCAGCGACGCTCCGAAGCCAAGAGCTACTGCTCCCTCTCCTTTTATCTGCTTCTAATCTCCTGGTGTATCTGTCCCTCCCTCCGAGAGAATCTCCCAAAAACCAGCTAGGTTCCCCTTCCCCCTGTCTCAAGTACATAGCCACCAGTGCTTCTTTAGCAAGCCAAGGGGAAAAATTCCAGAGGCAACGAGTTAAAGAAAAAACCAATTCCCATCACTGCTGCAGTTCCCAGCACTGAGAGACTGACAACACAAGGGAGTAGAGGAAGGTGCACGAAAGGTGTCCTGATGTCAGGAAAATTAATCCACAAACACCAGAAGTTTGTGTCCAAAAAGGAGACAGAGGAGTCCTTTTTGCTTTATTTTAATTAAGGGAGAGGCCATGGGACATTCCCCTAGGGTATCTCAAATTTTTGGAGGACGCAGCCTCCTTTTTATCCTATTTTCCCGGCCGCATTTCCCTCTCTCTTTCCCAATGGGCTGAGGTACTTGAGAGGCACAGACTTCCCAGAACGCCTGATACCTGAAATTCCCCTCTAATGTATAACCCTCCCTTTTAATTTTTAATTCTTACAGAATTCATAGTTTTCCCCTGTTGCTTTTCTCATCTTTCGATATCCAATTTCATTTATCAGAAGCCTTACACTTTGTTTGTAAAGGCAAATATCTCTTTCCATTCATCAATCAGTGGAATCCATCCCATTGTTTATTTTATCTCACAGTGCTAGACTTATCTACAAGCAGATCCGCAGCTCATTTGTAAAGACAAATTCGACATTGCTCTCACTGAGGTGCTGGGCTGTGTGTGAGCACTCCAGAACTGCTCTGGGGGGCAGTGCCTCAGCTTTGTGCTCAGTACATGATGATCCAAAATGCAAACAGGATATGGGATGTTGCTGGCCAAGATGAAGGAACCAAAACTGAGACTGATGGGGCCTTGAAGATGCAAGATTTTAATGGAACTAGACAATCTCCTCTGGGAGCTCCATCCACACCCTCTGCCGGGTGTCAGAGGTGATTAAAAGAAAGCTGTGCAGCCTGAGAAGGAAAAGCCTGATAGAAAGGGGGGGGGGGGGGGGGGGGGGGGAGGGGGGGGGGGGGGGGGGGGGGGGGGGGGGACAGAGAGATGGCCCTGGTAACTGTGTCACCAGGTAGGTGTCATCTGTGAAGCAGAGTGAAATTGAAATCAGCCACCTCCTTGACACCCTCTAAATTACTCTCTGTACTACGACATGTTACCCCACCCTCAAGTTCACAGGCAGGTCAAAACAAGTCTGATACACTCATGGGATTGAGCAAGAGGTGGGGGCAGTGAGTGATGAGCTGTTGAGTTGGGAGCCCTTGGGAATTTAGCAGTGAGCTTTATGCCTTACTAATGCCTGCTTGCTGCAGGAAGCCTCTGGTTTCTGTGTCCACTGTCTTGACCAGAATGGGAGTGTCAAAGAGGTTCTGGCACTGTGAATACTGGAGCAACCTGGGAAGACTTGAAGGAGTCTGCAGGCATACACTACCTGCATCCTCAGCACCTCCTGCTCTGCATCCCTGGTGCCCTGTTACTGAGATTTGTGTGATGCATCTTTGAAAGGTGAGTGCAGCACCTCACGTTACTTCTGTGCAGGTTGCCACCAGTGTTTTGCAGGGCAGCTCCAGAATAATCCTTACCTGCCTCCTGACCACTACAAAGTCTACGTGGGATTGTCCCCAAGAATAATGAAGTTCTCTGCTTTTCATTCCA